GGTGCCAGAGCGCAGTCTGTTCAGCGCCTTCCAAGTCACCCAGTTTTTTGTGTGCCCAGGGGGGAGTCTCTCATTTGGTATCGGCCATTTTTTGAGGCTCTGGATTTGAGCCTGCCACCTTTGGACTCTCGCTTGTTGAGGTGTTCCAGTGAGTGTCTCTGTAGATCTTAGAAAACTATTTCTTGATTTAAGTCATTGGCGTACTGGCTGATGCCCAAACAAGGGATGAGCTAGAGATATCTCTACCTTGGTCCTTTCACTATTGGCTGCTACTTCCCGGCGGATGTCAGGTGGTGCAATACCGGCTAAGCAGTGTAATTTCGACAGTGGTGTAGGGCACAGTCACCCCGTGATAATGCGGCATGTCATTAAGAGCCACATCCACTCTTTTAGTGTGGTGAGCTGTGTTCCATTCCTCATTATATTATTATGGAAGAAGATTTAGCAATGTACTATATACACTAATATATATGTTGACCTCATGTATAAATCAAGGGCAGGTCCAAAATTATGACTAGGTCAATGAATATTCTATGGAGAGGGGAACTGCTAATGTTGCCTCATGTGGCCAGCCACCTCTGGATGACACTGCCATTTTCCTGCCCAGACATTCAGAAGTGGTGCTGTGGTGAAGATAGCAGAGAGTTGGTAAATTTGTATATCCTCTCAGGATGTAGAAAACCTTCACCTTTCACCACTCGGAGAATAGTTCCTTTTTGATAAGAGTTAAGGTACAGTATTTACGCTGACCCATGGATAAGTCAACCCAATTTTGGGGGCTTGTTTTTTTAACTAAAATTTCTAGACTTATACATGAGTTTATAGGATAAGCCTCCTCCACCTACAGTGTGACATACTGAGGACAAGGTGTGCTTCAGTAGTTGACTAATTCACCAGTGTTAATCCAATTTTGCTGGTAGTATAGAAAATATGGGTGGAACAATCACGATTAGTCAACCCAGGTAAGTTCCCTCCCTTAACTCCACCACGGTGATAATGAATCATCCAGAAAACAGGTTGAGAGTTCCTCATCCAGAAGTTTCAGAATTTTGATTCCAAGCAGCTCCTAAGGAAGGCTTTAAGAATACCAATAGACCAAAACACTAATACAAGTACCATTTTTGAACATCTTGAGATGTCACTATTTTTTTCTATGGGTTTCATTGATGCTCCTCAAGTTCCTCTTATGACCTATGAACACTTCAGTAGCTTAACTTATTTATCATGTTTGCTAGCACAGAAGGAAATGCAACATACCTACTTTTGGAGCAATGAGGCAAATCTAGGGGCCCAAATGGAGCCAGCGCAATTTTTTGGAAAATGCTTTATAATACTTAAGAGTGGTTAGCACCCCTCCAAAATATTTCTTTATTCTAAAACATGGTGCAATTACAATTCAGACTAGGGTGATCAAAAGAGACCATTTCTGCCTTAGGGATTAATATTGCATATCTGGCTATGACTAATAAAGAGCTACTTCCCACAGTGCTACTGATGACCAATTTGTACGGCTAAAAGGAACAAAGCTAATACAGGTCATGTTCAACAGAAAGCAAGCAGCTCCCAGGAATGAGTCAGAGTTTGTGAGTGTTATTTCAAATAAATGAAGGGAATGGACAGAGCTATTTTTCTTATGTATACATACAAACAATTGAGTGCAAGAAGCCGTTGGCATGCACACCATTTGCTTAATATTAGTTTTGTTGTTTCAACAACAGTAACAGTTTCTACAGAGAACTGGCAAAGTTTTGGGGGTGCAGTCCTACTGAAAAGAAGTGGTAAGGAAAAGCTGCATCACAATACTTTGGGGCAGGCCCGTAGCCAGGATTTCATTTCGGGGGAGGGGGGGGGCTGGATTTTTTTCAGGGGGGTTTCGGGGGGGCTGAGTTGGGGGGGGGGCTGAGTCTGAGGGAAAGAGGGTCTAGCCTAGCAAACCTTTTGTATCATTACCCCAATACCCCCATGCATATGGGATATATTGAGTATGGTGATCAGATCATGATATGAATAAACATAACAGTTTAAATAATGCACCAGTAAGGCCTTTTCGCAAACCACCATGAGAATTTCGGGGGGGGGGGGCTGAAGCCCCTCAAGCCCCCCCCCCCCGGCTACATGCCTGCTTTGGGGGTTGTAGGAAGAATGGATGGAGGCAGCCATCTTAGTGGAAGTACAGACTGCCCCAGCATCTGGCCAGGAGCTCCCAGCACACTCTGGGTGTAAGCACTTTGATACCACTTTCATGTCATGGCTAAATGCTATGAAATCATGGGATTTGTAGTTTTACAAAGTTTTTGGCCTTCTCTGCCAAAGAGGGCTGGTGCCTCACCACCCTGCAGCTCCCAGGATTCAATAGCATTGAGCCATGGCAGTTAAAGTAGTGTCAAACTGCATTGAATCTACAGTATAGACACACCCTCTGTGTGATATCACTGTTGTGGATTTATTTATTTATTTATTTACAGTTCTTATATTCCGCCCTTCTCACCCCGCAGGGGACTCAGGGCGGATTACAGTAAACACATATATGGCAAACATTCAATGCCAGTTTGACAGACAACATTTAACAGACAAATACACCGAGGCTATTTAACTTTTTCTGGCCGCCAGGGGAGCTGCTGCTTTTCATCGTCCATCAACGACACCGATGAAGTTCTTCCGCATTCCACATTCCCCGGAGTCTTTTTTCTTTATGGCCTCATAAATTAGTTAAATTTAGCCTCCCACACAAGGTGGTGCCTTATTTTCCTACTTGACAGATGCAACTGTCTTTCGGGTTGCAAAGGTCGACAACGGGCTACACAATGGCTGGACACCCACTCCAGCCCAGGCTGGCTTCGAATTCATGACCTTTTGGTCAGAGTGATCTTAATGCAGCTGACACTCAGCCAGCTGCGCCACAATCCCGGTATAGGCAGAGTTGCATCCAGGAGCTTTTTACTAAGGATTGGATTACCTTAATACTATAGTTTAAATAGGGAATAAGAGTACCTGATTTGGCACCCAGAGGGTTGGATTTGAAGTTCGGGGATGTAGATTTCTCTAGCACGGAATACTCCAAACTGCAACTCCCAGGATAGCTTGAGCCCAAAGCTGATAAAATGGTATGAAACTAACAGAACTATGTAGTGCAATCCTCAATTCATTTGGGAACACTGGCCACAATACTCCTATTTCTCCAAGAAGCCAGATTCTGTCTAATGTGGACTGTGGTCTATAAATTCCACCCACAACCTTAACTTACAGGTTTTTGATTATTTTAAGATTTTTAAAATGTTTTAAGGGATTTTAATTTACTGGTTTAATTTTTTAAATATGTTGTGGGTTTTAAATTGCACCTTCTTAATGTTGTGAGCTGCCTAGCGTCTCAATCTAGAAATAAAAGCATGATACTACTACTACTACTACTACTAATAATAATAATAATAATAATACAGCATGTATATGCCATGGCTTTAGCTTCCTGGACATGATCTTCATGTATCTACACCACAACTGACTTTATCACTCACTTTCAATAATTCCTCCATTATATAATGGATCTTACCACTTTACTATAAAGACCTAGCAAATGAAAACAATTCCATAAAATAATAGCTATCATGTTAAAATTCCAAAGGTGGTGATAAGAAAAAGAATGAATTGACTTCATTCTCAGCTTTTCTTGTGTGCTCAACCCAACTATATTACTTTATCTGGACAACATTTTCTTTGTAAGATATACACAGGAAAAGATGGATTATTTTTTATTGGCAACGTGCACAAATATCCTTGCTATGGAGAGGGACCACATGGAACAGATGAGCTTGGAGCATTGTAGTTGTTTGGGGACTAGTTGTGTCTAAAATAGCATCAAGTCATCATGATGCTCTGCTGTGGTATTCATAGACTCTGCTGTATACAAGCTGTTCTCTTCTGCCATTCTGCTGGCTTCATTAATACATGCTACTTCAGTATGATCTCTGAGCAAAATACTACATTTCATTAAAATCCCCAGACAAGTAGTATGGCATGAAACTGGATTATTATAGCCAGAAGGTTTTGAAGCTCCACGACTTCAGATAAATCTGACTTCTGCAACATATAATTCAATGAGATCAGGTAAATCTGTCACTTTAGAGGAAACTTGGGGGTATTTATCTCACAGCTATGACTAATCCACTACACAGTGACTCACCCAGTGATGCATTATCAGAAAACTCTTAGACCCTCTAGCGTTTTGGTTAACAAACCCATAAATACAAAAAAAAATCAATTTTCTCAAACTAATTTAATTCCTGAATCTGCTGCCCAACCATCTAGTAACCTTTTGGCCTCCCTAGAACTGTGTGAAACAGTAGGTTCAGTGGAGATGTAAGCCTCAAGGAAATCTACTCCTCCGTCAACTTTTGACTCTTGAGAGTGAATGTTATAAATAGTGCAGCGAATTTCTAAAGAAAACAATACATATGGCAGAATCTCAGTTGAAATTTGGCAAGAACTTAATCTGCTCTGGTAGCTCAGAAAATGTTTGAATTTCAGCAATTCCTGATTAACTGTTTGGGATTGGCATTAACTACTAAATAGTTGCATTTCATATAACTCTAGTAACACCTTGTTTAGTACAGCATCTACATTAATTGACTACATTAAAATAAATAAAAATTAGAATTAATTATAGTTTTATTTGTACTTGAGGTTATTTGCAACATTACTTCCCTTTCAGCTTAACACTAAAATAAATATTTAGTGTTCCTGAAATTAAATGGGTGTAACCATCCTATAAACATGAATAACATAGGTCTGCTACATCTCTATGATCATCTGCTCTGCTAAATCACAGGTTCAGGAGCCTGGTGTGCCTAGCTAATTCAGAAACCCAAATCAAACATGGGCAGGTTCAAAGGCAAAAATAGAGGTTTTTATTCTTCCTGGCCAGAAAGGATGTCAGCAGAGTCTGTGCTCCCAAAGACTGACATACCACACATTGTAATACAGAGCATTTTTATTTCATTTTACAGCTATTCAAGAAACCTGTTCCAACTCTTGATTGATTGGAAATAGTCCATCAAGGATGTGTGGTCCAGTTGGAGCAGCTTCGCTGATTGGCCCTTGCTGGTGGCAGGAAATCCAATAAACTGTCATTGGAGCATTTGAAGTGTCAGTCTGTTGGAGCTTCTATGAGCTTCTCACATTTCTGGAATTAGGAATTGAGAAAAGATGGATAACAAATATCAGTGTGAACCTTCTCCCATTACCTCAGCCGAGTAAAAAGAAGGGTGGTGCCATTTTTCCAGCTGGCTGCTGTACATCTATGCCTTTCCACTGCCCTCTGTCCATGACAATTGTCCATGGGGACAATTGCCCTCCCTCACATTGTCATTGCATGTTGCCATTCTGTTGTGCATCATGGCCATTGCATAATGACCATACTGTTCATTCTGCTTGTGTTATAATTCCAGTTATGGCAACATTGCCTTGCTGGGAATATTGCCATTGAGTAATGCCTAATCCTAAAGAACATAATTGTAAACTGCACATTAAGTTCCAAGGGGATGTCAGTCCAATTTTTCAAAATCAGACATGGAGTTCTTGTGATTTGGGGAGAGTTGGCAATCCTGTCTTGGGTCCCAAGACAGAAAGTTTTCAATGTATGTTGTAAGTCACATTGAATTAGGAAAAAGCTAGGCCAAAATTTAAAAAAATCCAAAGTGACCTTTGGACTCATATTCATACACCCTGGCTTTACAGCTTCTTTAAGTACAAAGTTAAACTTGTTCCTCCTCCAATACTGCTCACCCTGAAAATTGTTACTTCAATGCATGGCAGTTGCTTAAGACTATAACCTGTGCGTGAAACCTAGGAATCCCAGCAATGCACTGCATATTAACTGCAGCCTAGTTACATGTTCACTGAAATTCATCCCATAAAAAGTAGCTAGGCTTTATCTATTTACAGTTCTGAATGACTTGGTATTCAAGGAAAGCTAAGAGATGTTTTCCTTGAGAGTGCCTTGCTCAAGTGGAGTAAGAAAGAAAGGCTGCTGGCTTTTATCTCTTGGTATCTCACTCAGTTAATTTCCCCTGCTTTTCAATTGCAATTGAAAATTAGTGGAGTAAGATAACAAGAGATTAAACACTCAGAAGTGAACACTGTTTCTCTCTCCATCTCTCTCAGGAGAAGCAAACACCTTCAAGTTTTCCTCAACTTTCTGGAGGACATGCTCAGCAGTCAAAAGTTGGTTACATTCATGTGCTTAATGAAAGTATAGCCAGGCTCTTGAGAGAACTGAATTTTGGATCATACAATTAAAGAATGCCAATACTCGTATCTTGTTGATGTTTGTACCTTCAAGTCCTTTTAAACTTGTGGTGGCAAATCTATCAAAGCATTTTCTGAGGCTGAATGTCACCCAGTAGTTTTCATGGCCAAATGAGAATTCAAACCATGGCCTCCAGAATCATATTATAAGGGAGGCCATAAGGGAGGCATGGTGTAAACAAAGACAGGGTCACACCAAATCTTTCAGTTTGAATTACTAATTGATTACATGCAGAGAATATTTATTTATTTATTTATTTATTTATTTATTTATTTACCTATCTACTTACTCAATTGCCTACTTGCTTACTAGCTGTCCCCTAACAAATGTTTTCTGGGCAAATCTCACACATGTACAAAAGACTCCCAAAAAATTAAACAAAAATATAAAACAATAGTGATTATTACTTCAGAAATGCAAAATACGTTCTTTGGAACTCAGTTTTCAATACTATAACATTTACCTACAGTCTGAATAAGTAGTTTTTAGAACTACAAACTCTTATTTTGCACGACAACTAGATCACATTACACAATTCACATTACACAATTACAACACTATGATTCCATATTAGCTCTATCCTCGAAATCCTAGAAACGGGAGGATTATTTCCATTCTCAGTCAAAGAACTGTAGTGCCCAAACTACAAAATTCAGGATTCCATTTGATGACACCATGACAGTTAAAGTGGAATAACAGCAGTATAACTGTGTAGTGTAAATAGATCCCAGGTAAATTGTTATGCAATATACCACTGTGAGCATGAGCATGAATGCAGTAGAACCATTGTTCATTTCTAACAACTGATTCTATCTTTCAATAACCACAGGCTTTAAATTAGCATACAATATTGCCAGACATTGCCATTAATGTTAACTTTTTTCAGCTATAATATTTGTTTGTTTGGCTAGCTGTTTAGTTTATACATCGCCCCTTTTTTCTGATGTAAAACCCAAGACCTGCATTATGGAAACTTGGTGATTGTGTTTTTTAAAAAATACTGTTTCCAAATCAAAAAAATGTAATGTTTAAAATATCTGGGCACTCAGGGCCATGTTTTATATTTACATTTGGGGTGCTTTGGCTAACATCTCCAGATTACAAATTCTGGTGCCATAAGATTGAACCAGGGCAGTTAAAGTGGAATCATAGTGCTATAACTGTGTAGTGTGAAACAGCCTAGGTTTCATGCACAGTTTTTATTGACTATTTTTACAGTGGCATTTAGTATATCTCTCATCAGTATGGCAATGAATCCGTCCCAGACTGAAGTCTGAACCAAACTGAGCTATCTCTAAGTGTTCTCTAATATCTTAGGATTCAGCACATTGGATAGCTCCTTTAAAGTCTGGAAAACTAAAACTCAGAATAGATTAATCATACCTTGGCACAGAAGTTAGGCTTGTACACAGATTTGGAGTGGTTGGTTCCCTTTGGCTAATCCAGCTTGTTTAGCTTGGCCAGATGGCTGTAATGGCAAGGGCCAGCCATCACGTTTTCCAGTCTGTAATGGGACCATGTGGCAGCCCATCACAGCTCCTCCTCCCCTACTCAGCATCACAGTTGCGTCCTGGCTTCTGTGTATTTTTTGGCTTGGCTTCTGGATTGGCCTATCTCTTGAATATTTTTGATCTTCCTTTATTTATCTTGATTTTTTTAATTTAGTGAGACTGACTGGGAGTTGGGAACATGCGGGACAGGTGGATGGGATGCATACATGTGTTTGGAGGCTTGGAGAGTCACCCTTTTAGTGTCTTTTCTTCTCCCCCATCCATCAGAAAATATTTCTAAAAGATTGTTGTTGTTGTTGTTGTTGCTAGTAATCCCAGCAAACAAAAAGAAAAGCCTCATTCTCAGAAAACCACTACCACCAAGTTACCTCTCCTCTAGAGTAGAAAGTAGAAACAGCTTTAAGGAAGCATTAAACCTGAAGGAGAAAGGCATTGGGGGGGGGGCACTACTCCAAGCAGGGCCTGCAGTGCAAATCAAGAGAAAAGAGAGTGCTTTTAAAAAGAAAGCCCAGGATAGGACAGCTCCAGGTCATCACTTTTTCTTTCCTGGGAAATGGGAAGCCTCCTTAAAATGCCTTGGAAAACTGCATGCAGGGAGAGAGAGTGTGCACCTGAGCACTTGTAGTGCCTGTCTCCTCTAGAGTAGAAACAGGTTTAACGAAGCATTAAGCCCAGGTGTCCTCTATAGACCAAAGGGGAAGGATTGCAGAAAGAGTGGTAACTTAAGCCCTTTCTTTAAGCCCAGGTGTCCTCTACAGACTGAAGGGGAAAGGATCGCAGAAAGGGTGGTATCTTTACTCTTATGCTTTTTAATAAAGGTCGTAATGAGACATATATGGACAAACGATGCCATTGCCTAAAATGAGAGGAAGGAGAGCCCAGGGAGTGCCCCCTCCCCCATTGCCGCCAGTGGGCAGGATCTGGCCATATTTTCCAGCTGTGATACGAAAACGGCTATCCAGCTACCTGCCTGTTTTTGGGAGGCGCGCAAAACCAGATACGGGGTCTATTGGTATCCAGCCAGCAGAAATGGATAAGGGTTCAGCCAAAATGCACAAACCTAACAGAAGTCACCATTTGCCCCTGTGTCCTGAGCAATTAAGAAGGTATTCATCATAGAAAATATGCAGTATGGTATTTTACATGTTTACTCAAGTAAAATCCAATGTATTTGATCATATTTATTCACTTGCGACGGAGCCTACAATTCCACTCTCCAACAATCTTACCAGCAAACAACATGATAGGTAGCTTGAATTTAACCTTGCTTCTAATAACAAACAAACTTTGTATTATCCTAACTTTGGAAATGATAAAAACTACTGCAGTCTTCCCCCTCTACAAGAATTACAGACATTTCCAGGCAACCTTATTTTTTTCCATGTATGTACTTACATTTACATTTCTCGTCTATATTTGTTATTCAGCCCACACTGCTATTGCTCCAAATGTGTCTGCAGGGAAGTTGCTGAAAACACTTTGCTATGAAACATGATAAACATCTATCAAACGACTGTATTATTACAGCACATGAAATTGTTTAGGGATTGTGCATAACAGATCCAGAGAAAGAATTTCATCTGACACTCATCAAAAACAGCAATGACATTTACTATACAAACAATCTTTCCTTTCAAGCATTTTTTTTTACAATTGGAATAAAATCACAGCTGTATAGATTTTAGAAATAACATCGTGCCATTTCTATAAGTAGCGAAGTCTTGTTCGGAACCTCAGATGCATACAAATTTCCAGTCATTTACTACAGAGCAAATTAATGCAATCGCATTAGGTGTCAGAGCATAGTGGTTTAAGTGCTATACTGGAACCCTGGGATACCAGTGTTTGAATCTCCACACAGCCATGGAAACCCACTGAATCACCCTGGACAAGTCATATGCACTCAGCGTAAGAGGAAAGCAATGGCAAACTTTCCCTGAATAAATATTGCCCCAAAGTCCAAATAATGGAATCATAAGCTGGAACTTGAAGGCACATGACAAAAGAGGTTATAGTTAGAAAAGCAATATCTGAACCATTGTTTCTTCCTTAGGAGTTTGCACAAATAATGCTCCTTATCTTCCTTCATTTGTGGTCAGTGAGGACCCCAAGACTGTCTGAAACATTCCCTAGAAGCCCCATTTGCATTTTTCAATACTACTGTTTCTCCCACTTTGAAAAAACAAAATGTGCTATGTGTTGCATTGCTGAGTCCCCAATGAATGGTTCAGATGAGATGAGCATGAACAAACGGATTGTGCCAATCATAATACCATATGATTCTCACCTGTGCAATGTAGCTGTGGACAAGTCTACATAGGACCA